TCAGCCGGAGTGAAATCGCCCAAAAAGAGGCGGTACTCCACAGAACGTGACATGACGCTGATTGGACTATATCCAGAGGCACAGTAACGGCTCGCGTAACTCTGTGGTTCAATGACATTGGTGGTGCGTCGCCCAATCGCTCTAATGAAGAAACCGTCCCTGGTATAGAATAGGGTTATCCTCCCCAGGTAGGACAACTGAAAGTTTAGTCCTGGGGATTAAAAGAGCACAGTCAAGGAAATTCCCCTCGTAGGCCACAGCATATCACGCCCTGCAAGTCTCTCACTCATAACACAGGTTTTGTGGGTTAGATTGCGTAAATACAAATGTGTCGTTAAACCCGCCACCACCCCACACAGCCAATTCGTAAGGTTTGTCACGTTAACAGAACATGCCAATTCGTTACTAGTACAGCATACCTGGTGTGTTGGAGAGCTAAACCACAATATTTATAATCTGAGTACGACGTTTCGCCAGTAATTACAACTAGCATCATCGGGCGTACAGCCAGATTTGTGGAGAAATCATCCTCCTGTTTAATTCCTTAAATAGAGGGTTAGATGCGATGATGTGCAAAACGTCGTACTCAGATTGTAAATGTTGTGGCTTGGCTCTCCAAAACACCAGTAACGAATTGGCATGTTCTGTTTACGTGACAAATCTTGCTAATTGGTTGTGTCGGGTGGTGGCGGGATTAACGACACATTTATATTTACTCTATCTAACCCCCCAAAAAAACCTGTTATGGATGCTATCGGTCGCCAAAGCTTCCTACTTGTTAAACTAAGTCTCTCACTTTTAAATCCCTTGCCTACAGTTTACTTGTGTTGGAGGACAAGAGGCCATGTCTGTGTAAAAAGTTATTACAATCATGCACTTTGGCAAAAAGAGAATTTCCACTAAGATACACTTCATTAATGATCGCTATCCAAAATAACATTTCACAGTTCACACGATCGTCTGCGGACGTGACAGGCATCCCCATCAGGAGTTGGCATTCATGTTAATAGCGAAACGGCTCGTGTGCTGGGAAATACATTTTTATCGGGGAAAATGTACCCTCATGGCTCTTACAATCTTTCTGGAAATCAATTTAGTCTCATAGCAGCACTATTCGACAGGTATTCACGCGTTTTCATGCAAGGCACGTGTTTTACAGAGAAATGTGACAAATTAAGGGAGCATTTCATCGCTGTGCGTTTAAAAGTGAACAAATAAATAGAGGTGCTGTCAGAAGTGTCTATTTTTCTCTGCATCCTAATTTGAAGTGAGTTTCCTAACCGTAGTTCGTTAAATGGATTTTGGCTTTTATTCAATTGGTTAAATTGTTGCATGTAGTAAAAGGATGTAATTTTAAAAAAGCCTTTGTGAAAACCTTAATTTCTAACATTTTGCACTTCCCAATGTTACATAGCAATTCATGAACTACACCACTGCGTAGGTGTTTAGCAGTTGTGCGCGATAGCTCTTGGATGTGTCTTCTCGTTGTTTCGCGTGTTGTTGAGTATGTTGTCCGATGTTTCGCTCCACATGGTGAAAACATCTTTAGCAACTGAATAATGAATTTACCGAATAAGCTCCCAGCATGTGGAGACGATCGTTGGACACTGTCCCAACTAACACACGCGGTGCAGACCCGACAACACATCTGCGAGTAAATCGTGGATGGACTTGCCGTATTAGAGGCTGGTAATTTTTTAAACAAAAAAAAGAGTACTTAAAATTAAACCCGAACAAAATGGCCTGTGAGAGGTTGCTTCAATGAAATCGATGCAAGAGCTAAAAATGATCTGTGAATAACAAACGAGTGCTCTGCAGAAGGCCCTCCATAGTTAATCAGATCAGTGTCATCTCACAAGAACCACACGCTTATAAATGGCCCTTGCTTACGATACTGGCAGAACATTGCACATTTGACCATTTGATACGAATGCGTTTTTTTAGGATGACCGGTCACAAGGCAGGAAACTTTTTCGGGAACATTATCCTGAAACTCGACTTGAGACATTGCTCTGTAATCCACTCTTATGGATCACAACGAGTTTTATTTTAGTAACATCACGAGGAAACCTTGCCAGACTTGGCTATACACAGTGCAGAGCTTAATCGCACATAATCCTGTCCGTTTCTTACAAAGTGCCGCTTGGTTTGTTCTGTGAATAATGACCATAGTGTACGTGGTGTACTAATTAGACAGCCGGTTGTACCGCATGGTTGGAATGTTGGCCACGTATAGTTTATTCATTCAAATATAAAGCGTGCGCCATAAACTGAAAGTCTTGATTGATCTTCAGCAGGACTTAACGTTCAAACACCTGGGACTGTCTCAAATCTCGATGGGATGTGTCGCCAACTCCCTGGCAGACACGTGGAGGTTGAAAGGCATGAGGATACACATGATGACATAATCACACTGCCAAGCATTTGTCTGTTAGTGTTATTGACCTAGCTGAGATCCTTTGTCTAATCATAATTATTTAATAAGTATGTGCTATGAAGGACAATTGCTCGAAATGTCACCTTTTATGAATGCGAGTTTTCGTACGGTACTTTAACGGTTGAAAGCAGTGTTATGTCAATAACAAAGCAGAACGTGGACTTCTGTGAAAAAGAGCTTAATACCTCATTATATTCCTCCAGTATAAATAAAGATTCTGATTCTGGTTGTCATGTTGATTACTTAATTGCAAATGTGATGCCTCTGTACAGGTAACCCTCTATTTACAAAAGGGATGAGCTATACATAAAAAAACACGTGTCAAACGGAAATGTAATAAATCAGAAAGGCTTTCCACATTAATTGAATGCTAAACATGGGGAATGCGTTTCGGACAGTCATTCAAACTCTACTCCTAACCAAAAATAAACACCTTTGCTACTTTTTACATTAAAAAAAAATAACAACATAAATATGAAAATTTTGAATAACGATTCGTAAAAAAAATACGTATTCCGGGAACTCGACAAAAAAGATCTGCATGTTGGAATGACTGGTAAGGTGACGTGGAGGCGTTACTGTTGTACTGTAGGAATTCCGTGACGCTGTCGTGGATGGATGATAAGGCCTCCTCGTGCTTGTTTGATCTAATGGCCCGTGCCATGTGAAATGTTGTTTACACGGAAATGCGATTTCGTTCATCGAAAACTGTCCATCAAACCGAACGTTCGTAAATCAAAGGATACCTGTATATGAGCACACCGTTAGCTTTGTCTCCGATGATCTTCTGCTCTCAAGTTGGCCTGAAAATGCATTTTAAAAAAATGTTCTCTCAAAAGGAAAACGGTGATTGATGAGCCCATTGGCCTTCCGTGTTGTCACTGAAGCTCACTTGGGCGGCAGGTGTATTGATGAAATTCACACAGCGAATAGTACAGTCCCACATCCTCTCAGGGGTTCCATTGAAGCTCAATGACTGAGTGAAGGGAAGAGGTCCCGCAGTGCCTTGTTACCGAGCTGTGCACGGGTGATAATTGTTCCGTGCCTGAAATGTCTGCACTTGGAGTGACCCAAACTCATTATGTAAAATGATCGATGTTGACATTGACAATTGCGAGTTGGGTGGTGGAAAAGCGAATGACATCCCTAACAGAATACAGTCAACATAACCAAGGATGTTTGATAATAGTTACGTGTGTTTGATATAATTTAATTTTTGAACAGTCTGAACAGTGAGAATGGGAATATATTTGCGTAAGATTTTTTAAACCAACATTGTCATGTGAATTTTGCCATTATGTAGTATTTACAACTATTTTCTTAAGCCATTGTGTTAAACGTTTCATAAATGTTTTCAATTGTAAGCCTATGTGTTAAGTACAATAAGGGTTTTTTTTTAATGTGAATGATTATACATTGTTTATACATCATACATAATGAAGGTACACATGTCTTTTTTACTGAAGAAATGTGTTTTACAACATATTGGCATATACATGTCAACAAACATATAGTAATGTTGTTACATTACCTATCAGTGTTAAAACGACGTTACTGTGGCGATTGAGTTAATGCTGATGATATAAATGTACTCTTCATGCCATCATGTCCACACTCTGCGCATTTATCATGGTTTGTGTATAAAAACGTTGCGGTATAAACCACTTACATGATAAATATCTAGATTTGTTGCTTTTGTTGCGAGGCTGAAATCCAATTTTCTCCAGAATCAAGATGGTTGTTAGTCTTCATGTTGTTAGCAAGTCATGTCTGTCATTAAAGTAATGCTCTGTGCTGAGACTAATTGAATAAGGGTGCGCTGGGTATGTTTTCTAATTTTTGTTTGGCTTATTTGATGATAAAGCCAATTCTCCTCGGATTTTAATGTCTTCAATAACTGGGCATTATTTTTGCTGTTTTTGTACAATGCTGAGTGGTTGAACTGTTTTTGATTTACATTCATCAGTGGCTTTTCCAGTCAAACTTATGAAACATTGTCAAATGTGTCAGCCATTTGTATTTGTCACATTTTTTTCATCTCATGTTAGTGATAAGTAAAACCATTCTTTATCCCTTTTATTATGCATATTTTTTTGGTGGGTTAAATATTGGGCCACATGGCAGTTTATTCACATACTGTATTTTTGCAAGGAGAAATTTTTCAAAAAATGTACGATTAAATTCAAGTAAATATATCTCAGCTTAAATATATATCTCAAAAAAGCCCAACGATACAACACCCATCAATCAACGATGAAATGACTTCATAATCCTATGCCATCCGGAGAAAATGAATACATTGTCACTTTTAAGCAGTGAGGCCTTTTCCTAGAGCTTAATGCGTGAGGTTTTCGCTGGCCTAGCCATCGGACGTGTGTGCCGGTTGTGTAACGCCGCACGTGCAGGGAGCTTCTTCAGTGCCCTCTTCATCTCCTGAAGGAGATCCAAGTATATGTGGAGTGGAACGTCAAACATGGAACAACCTGAAATGCACACCTCCAAAGTTCATCCTCGAGCTGTCTAAATTTGTGACCTGCGCATGCGACCGCACTTCTGTGTGCAGCTCTGGCGCGCGACGTGAAGCTGGAGCCGGGCTCCGTGCAGGACGGCTCCTTCTGTGAGCTGGGTGCCCGTGCCTGCGGCCCCTACCGCCACGTGGGGGTAGGTGGCCTCTCCGGCCCCTTCCGGGATGGGCCGCCCCCGTACCAGCGGCGCGGCTCGCTGCAGCTCTGGCAATTTCTTGTGGCGCTCCTGGACGACCCGGCGAATGGACACCTCATTACTTGGACTGGACGCGGCATGGAGTTCAAGCTTCTGGAGCCGGAGGAGGTACAAGCACTGAATGGCAATGCACAAGCCACCACCGCGAGATTGGACATTGGTATTCAATTGCACTTCTTGTACGTATAATTAAGAGGTTTAATGGCATCCTTAGTTGAAATGAAGCCCGTTAAGCTGTGCATTTTGAGGTTTTCTCATGTGGGCTGCTAAGGAATGATTTTAAATGGGAGGGTTTAAATCCCTTCCCATCACTTGATATACTGAAGCCTGCTTAGGCTATGCTTTGGAACCTATTGACCATTGTGAGTTTTGCTAGTAAGGTAATATTTAAATGGTACAGGACCTGTCTTATTCTATGGGTCTTTCGGTAAACTCGCGTAGATAGGTTCAAAGAATATTTAAAAAATAACTAAAAAATTTACCCGTAAAAACAAAGTTTTTCACTCTAAATCCTTTATATGCGTGGCGGCTAGAGTCCTCTCGTCCTCTGGCTTGAGATGGCTACCACCTATGGGTCAGATGATTGTCTGCCAGCATTAAGCAATTGGTAATTAAATATTTCAAAAAATTTCCCTAAACAATGTAAAATTTAGGAAAAAATTTTTCACGAAAATTAATTGTCACACACAACGAGTCTGTGTGGAAAATGTCAGTTCGATTGGATCACGGGAAGTGGGTTAAAAAACGACCGAAAGATTTGCATGGTCGTAAGCAAGCACGCAAGCACGCAAGCGAGCGAACTTAATATAAAAGATTTAAAAACTACGACGTGACTTTACCGAAAGACCCATAGAATATGAATTCCTACAGTCACGAAAGCTTTAAGTCAAGGACTTGTCTTCTTTCTCCCCAAGATTTTTCCCGATTGAGAATGCTATTCCTGTTAATGTGAGGTATTTATCTCCGGATGAAAAAAAATCAGTGTAGCATTGAACTACATCAAACAGTTTGTGCACTGAACTACAGTTGAAATGAGACCACGTGATTTCAGACCACTCAAGACGCACGGGCTGCATGCTGGATGTTGATCTATTAAGACATAATTGTTACCATACTAACAAACGACACCAATGCTTGCTAGTAAAATGCTCAACACCAGTCTTCATTTTGATTTTCAATTTTATATTACTGGTGTTATTGCACAACAGCTTTTTTTATAATTCAGATGACAATATCCTTTTCTATAAATACAATTTGCATTTAAAATATTGTGCAAAGGCAGATTGTAATCCAGTGGAAATATTATTTATTAATGTATTTGATTTTTAAATTGTATTTGTTTCTTGATTATACAAAAAAAACGTGTAATGTGCATATAATAAATTTTTATGTCAAAAAGAAATACGTGAATATTAAATTATATTAATATTTCTAGGAAAGTTGTATTTGAAACATTACACAGTTTGAGAGTAACAATGAAAAATAATTTGTACTACATATGTACGTGATTTCATATTTTAATTTTGATTTCTCATGGTAGATATTAAAATGCTGTATTCTGGCCCTAAACACAAGGAAACACAAGGAAACAAACAAAAGAAATAACAAATGTACCATTTGACAGCAAAGAATGTAGTAATATTATTAAATTGGTACTGACAGAAAATGAATAATACAGCATTGCATGCATGCAGCAAGAAATAAAGTTGGGCATACATGTGAATGTCGCACTGTGTTTGTTGAGGGCAAAAAGAAAACTGTTCAATATTTCATGTCTTCTGTCCTATTTGTAGGTTGCGAGAAAATGGGGTGTCCAGAAAAACCGGCCGGCCATGAATTACGATAAACTAAGTCGTTCCCTTCGTTACTACTACGAAAAGGGCATCATGCAGAAGGTGGGGAGATGCACTGCAACCAGGCACTCACTAATGAGCCGACGTGCATTACACTTTAATGAATGAATGTCTCTGAATAAAAAAAACGAACAATATTTTTTTAGTCGACAAAATATTTCTCAGCAAATTGTAATTGCAATTACACTTGGAGCAATAACAACTATCACGTTGATCTGAGCGTTAGCCGACATTTCCTCATCAAGACACTTTTGTTTTAATTGAAAGCCCGTCTTCCACCCACATGAACCACAATGTGTACAAACACATAAATCCACGTAGACATGCACTTTGACGTCCAGAGTTGTTTCTGGATTTATTTAGTTCATCCTATCACGTGGAATTATAACTGGCATGCTCATGGCTCCTTACAGGTGGCTGGTGAGAGGTACGTATACAAGTTTGTATGCGACCCAGAGGCCCTCTTCTCCTTGGCATTCCCGGACAACCAAAGGCCTCTGCTCAAGGCCGACATCGAGCGGCAAGTCAGCGGGGCTGACACGGTGCCCCTGACACACTTCGAAGAGAACACCACTTACCTGCAGGAAGTTGGACACTGCAATCCTGTGCAGTACACCGAGGGCTACGCCTACTGAGACTGGCCTCGTGCCACAGAGCTGCCCACCGTCTGGCAGGTTAAACCTGGTGTGTGGCATGACGTGTGCTTTTCAAATGACCTTAGGTACGTTGATTATAGAGGCATGGCTATGAATTCTCACATTTTTGTAGGGTATTATGTGCTTGTTATCAGGCAGGCTATAGCCACTTTTCATGTAATAAATGGTTAGAAATGCCTCTTGATTGTACGTGACACGTTTTTCATGTTCAATTGGTAAATAACCTAACCCGTTCGGTACTTCTATAATTAGCTTCGAGTTCGAAGCTCTCTTTAAGCTTTACTACGCTACATAAAGCCATAACGTGCTACCTAAGCAGGTGGCGAAAGCTTTGCAGTGTTTTCATCTGAACCTTTCGCTCTTTGTAGCGGAGTGCATCAAGTCGATGCACATTTGTAACTAAATCACCCTGAAGTGCGGCGAGAAGGCCGGATGTGGCTTAATAATGGCAGTGGCTTGACCGCACGCGGCACGCCATGGCCCCACGGCTCCTTTGGACTTTGTTTGCGGTGACACGTTTGAATTTGTATTTTTCAACCTTTGCCCATTCACGTGCATGCACACCGGATGAGAACTGTTTTGTTTCCTGATTTAAAAAAATATTTCTATTCGAAACCTTAGCGATTATCTTTGAGCTCTTAAAAGTACTTGCCGGTATATTTCACATGTGTTTGATTCAAATTTCTTAAACACGAGGAGAAACGTGTTTTTACACAATTTAAAATCCGTGATAGATGTTTTTGGGTTAGATTGCGTAAATATAAATGCGTCGTTAAACCCGCCACCACCCGACACAGCCCATTAGCAAGGTTTGCCACGTAAATAAAACATGGCAATTTGTTACTAGTACAGTGTGTTGGAAAGTAAACCCACAACATTTACAATTTGAGTACGACGTTTCACCAGTAATTACAACGAGCATCATCAGGTGACAGCCAGAGTTGTGGAGAAATCCTCCTTTTTTAAATCCTTTATATTAAGTTCGCTTGCTTGCTTGCTTAGGACCGTGCAAATCTTTCGGTCTTTTTTTAACCCACTTCCCGTGATCCAACCGAGCTGACATTTTCCGCACAGACTCGTTGTGCGTGACAATTAATGTTCGTGAAATTTTTTTCTCCAAAATTTTACACTTTTTAGGACAAAAATATTATATTTAATTACCAATTGCTTAATGCTGCCATGCAATCATCTGACCCATAGGTGGCAGCCATCTCAAGCCAGACGACGAGAGGACTCTAGCCGCCACGCATATAAAGGATTTATAGTGAAAAACTTTGTTTTTACGGGTTAATTTTTTGGTCTTAAATCGAGGGATAAATGTGATGTCGTCACTTGTGAACCAATCAGGTGCGAAGGCCAGAGTGGGGGGTTAATGTACGCAGATAAATTACAATGGATATCCATTACCGGTTGGGTTGTTCATAGGGTAATCAACAAACATTATGCATGCACACCATGCCATTATGGGTGCAAGAAATTGCAATACCTGTTATCTCATATTTAATCACCATCGACCTGTATAGGCATGCAGTTAAAGTGTTTTACTTGAACACGTAGGCTTTTGCGACGAATATTATTGATAATAAAGGTTTTTGGGTTAGATCGCGTAAGTATAAATGTGTCGTAACCCTCCACCAACAGACACAGCCAGTAAGGAGTAAATCCACAACATTTACAACATTTACAATAGTAAATGTTGTGGATTTACAACACACCGTTGGGTTGAAGTAGCAACTAATTTACGCGTTTTGTTTAAGTGACAAACCTTACTGGCTGTGTCGGGTGGTGGAGGGTTACGACACATTTATACTTATGCGATCTAACCCAAAAACCTTTACTATGTGTGTATTACTTGATCATTTGCTTCCAAGCAGCACTAAGCCTGTAGCTTTCAAAACAGGAGGATTTCTCCACAACTTTAGCTGTTGCCTGGTGACGCTCGTGGTAATTATTGGCGAAACGTCGGACTCGAATTGTAAATGTTGTGGGTTTACTCTCCAACACACCGGTGTGCTGTACTAGTAATGAATTGGCATGTTTTGTTTACGTGACAAACCTCACTAATTTGCTGTGTCGGGTGGTAGCGGGTTTAACGACACATTTATATTTACGCGATCTAACACAAAAAAACTCTATTGTGGATAATATTGGTTGTGAAAGCCTCCAACGTGTTAAATGATGTACCATGTTGGCCCTTCCGTACACCTTTGATCTGTATTTGCTTCATAGAAGCCATCAGAGAGGTTTTGTCTTGTTACATACTTAAAGCTAAGTGTACTACTATGGCCATATGTGAAGCATGCAAAACGTTGCTTTCGCTTGACTTAATAATTGCATTTTGCAATGTGACAGAAATCTGCAGGGTCATCATTTTCGAGAGAAGACACGCGTACGCTATTTCATACGTCATGAATGCCCTTTTTTAAAATAAAATGTGCAGTTTATATTAGCGTTCGAAAATGTGTTGCCTGTTTCACAGGACAACTGACAATCCTTAAGAATATATTTGGACTATTATGCTTAAAGATAGCGAGTGCGTGTATGTACGTGTATCTAATTCGGATGTATTGTTTTTATCCCAGTAACTTTTTATAATGTTTGTAAATTGTATATATTGCCTTATTTTTGTGCTTTACTTGCTGTATAGATGATGTTTTAACTGATGAATGTTAACATAGCACTAGGTTTATCACTTTATTGTAGTATAATGGCCATTTTCGTGTATTTTGAAATGATGTTTTTGTAATTTCTGCTTTAGATATTGCTGAACAATCAACGGTATTGTGGCATAACTTGTAAATGACCTTGGCAGTGCCTGCTTTGCAAAAAAAAAAACTAAAATCTGCATATTTAGTTTCGTTTCTTCATATTCTGTAATAATTATATCCGTATCATCACCCTTTGAGCACTGGTTTGAAACATCACAAACTACATGACTAGAATTACTCTATGCAGTTTTCTCGTTGGTTCCATGACCTGCCGTAAATTAATCATGTATCGAGCATTCATCTTTAAAAAAAGAAATGTAATTAATAAAATAAATGAAAAATGTTATATTTCAGAAGATTTTTTTTCTTCCACGTTTCCTTTGTACAACTTTGTTTTTACATTGCTGATAGTCCAAGTGACGACATGGCTCTCTCAGAGTTGAGTCGGTTGGCTGAATTCCTGCTGCTCCTGCTCTCCACTCATCCGTGCGGAGCAACCACCAAAGTATGCCAGCCGTGAAGAGGATACTACAGACCCGTTGACGTAATTCCAAGAGTAGAGCTCTGTGTGCCTGTGTAGCATGCCAATTCTCGAATGGAGAAACGTTGCTATGTTACTCGGGTGTCTCTTGCAAACGAACTATTGAGAATACCACAGCAGCATCCGTGAAGTGGCAGTGCACTGGGCAGTCCTCTCCAATTGTGGTCCCTAAGCCAGTGATGGTCGTGTAAAAATGTAACATTCCTGTGGAAAGTTCCAATTCATGCAAAGGCAAGATACTTGACCTTTCACAAAGTGCTACCAATGTCATCAACCCCACAGGGATGATATAAGCCGGGTAATAAATACTGCAAAGCAATCCGCATTTTGACTGTCATCCAAAAGTGTGTGTTTTATGGCAATATGCGATCTTTATTTAAGGACTCACCTTGACCGGCTGTTGCGCAAGTGGCCTGCCGATGCCACTCAGCTGTCGGGGAGCGGGGACGGTGGCCGCTTCCGCTGCTGCGTCTCCCAGGGGCTTCTCAAATGGCTGCACGCTCCCTTTCATCCGCCCGGATTAATCTGACATCACACCCACCGCACATCACCAATACTACACCGGTGCAGTCGTTTAGTGGCAGCATGCTCGCAGCTGCTGATGTGTAGTGTGTTTCCTTGATTACATTTTTAATACCCCACGGATGTATTTTTAATTTTCTTCACTGCTATTAAGATTATTCATCGTTCGTACATTAGGAATGGAGCAATTAGTTTCAAATAAGGGCGTCTCATTGATTGTTTGAAATTATATCATTAATATAGCCTTCAACATTGTCTTATATACCAAATGTTTTTCTGATTGTATATCTTTGCAAAAATGCAACCGATTTAAGTCAAGGTAATTTATCCAAATACAGTAAAACCTTGGATTGCAAGTAACTTGGTCTGTGAGTGTTTTGCAAGACGAGCAATTTTTTAAAATAAATATTAATTTGATAAACGATAAACGAGGTCTTGCAATACGAGCAGCACGTGCATATGCTTTGTCGGCCTAGCGTCACGTGATCACAACTGTTTTACGAGTGCTTTGATATACGAGTGCTTTGGATTACAAACACGTTTCCGGAACGAATTATGCTCGCAATCCAAGGTTTTACTGTACCTCAATGTCGAGTGTTGGGGGAAGCAGAATCAAATTCGTGTCATTTTCTTAAAATTATTTCGTATCTGACATGTAACTTTTGGACACGGCCAAGAGTGTCTTCAATAGAGTCGGTTGGAAAATATTGTGCACACACCCTTTTACTTTTAACATATCTGGCCTAGTGGCACTAGTTAGAGAGATCAGTTCGCAATTGCAAACTTGGGAGCTGAGAGTCTACTTAAAATAACACACCATCATCTCTCCTTAGTAAATCAATTAAGTTCCACCGTGTTTTGGAGAAAATCAACATTTGTCCTATGGTGAGACTAAGCCCCTCAACCATGGGAATTTTCAACAATGGGCCACGGACCACTCCATTGCTTGTTGGAGCAGAGAGTGCGTCTTGATTAATGTTTCAATCGAGGTTAATCGTGAGCACGGTTCGGTATTGGCGGTGAGCGTATTTCTAGCAGGGGGCTTGGCTTGTTCGCGTTGCCCAGCGAGCGGTCCTTGCTGACCTCGGATGGCAGGAAGCAGAAGGGAACAGGTGGTGAGCCACCCATGGATCAGGCTTTGGCTGCGCAAATGAAGGCATCGTAGGCATCCAGCCCCAGCCCTCCGACCACAAGCCCCGTGCCACCTCATCAATCCATCGATGGCAGCAGAGGGGAGGCACCTTCCAAAACATCAGGAATATTTGGCACTGAATAAAAGGTGATGCTTTATTTTAGGGGTGTGTACGTGTACGTGTGTGCGTGTAAGAATTATGCATGTCCGGTTGTAAATTACCATCTTTGTGATCATTATGTGATATGTGTTTTTTTTGTAAGCACAGAAGATAGATAAGCTTGTGTTTTTTTTATGAATTCATGTTTATAAATGTGCAGATTTGCACAAATAAATAGGCCAGCTCACCTGACCGAGCACTAAGCAGTACTGTCAATGGTCAACACAATGCAATTTACGGTTGTCGTTTTAACAAGGGTTGTCTGTGATGCTGAATGGGCTTGACACGGGCAAAGCATCCGCAAAAATAAACTGAGGCACTGGTTGAGTGTTACATAAAAAAGCCATAAAATATTAATTATCAAAGAACCTTTTAGCAATCTCTGGGGAAGTGGCATGTGACAACATTCCGTATTGTTTTAGACACACTGCGTTGTGTTTATTGCCTGTTAAGGGCATTGGTCACGTGTCGTCTGGATGCATATCGTGAATACACGCTCGAGTGATTCGTCGTGATTTTCTGAGTGCGCAGGTCCGCTTTTCCTGATGACGACTGCTTGTGTTGCGATCGAAACGTCGTGGTTTATTTTATTTTTTATTACTGAAAGAACCAAAGAATAAGTCTACATTCTAGACTGCCAGTACGCTCACTCAGTTTAATAACCATTGCTACAGTCTGCATTATAGATTGCCAATACGCTCACTCAGTTTAATAACCATTGCTACAGTCGACATTATAGACTGCCAGTACACTCACCAAACTTAATAACCATTGCTAAAGTCGACATTATAGACTGCCAGTACACTCACCAAACTTAATAACCATTGCTAAAGTCGACATTATAGACTGCCAGTACACTCACCAAACTTAATAACCATTGCTACTGTCTACATTATAGACTGCCAGTACACACTCAGATTAAGAACCAGGCTACAGTCTACATTAGTGTTTATTTTTTTTATTCCCTTTATTTGTATTTTTCTATCAACGCGACTTTACTGAAAGAACCTAAGAATATGAATAGGCCATGTAGAAGTTCCCTATTCTCCAAGTCTACAATTCTGAAGTCTGTGAACTTGGTGAACTGTATGTGTGTATGTATGTTGAGCTTTTTCGCACTACACGTAGCCAACCGTGCTAATCGGTGGTGCAGGATAAGGGAAACAAACTAGACACAAAAATCAGAACTTATTTACAACGTCAACTTCACACTCTAAAGAACGACACGACCTACTTATTGTCGCTTTGAATGTCCTTTGAAAACACTTACTTGTTGGGTAATCATACAATACGAAATTAACAAATGTTTGTTTCTCTTTGTTTCAATGTGAATCAGTCATAAAGGGTATTTTAAAATATTATAGAAATATTTTTACAAAGCTGGACAAAATCATTGGCATAAAACACGCGATTAAATTGACCAGCATGGGGATAGAGCACCGAGTGTGGAATGACTCCATATCAAATGTCTACTGGACATGTGAAAAAAGATTCTTAACTCATTAGATTATTTCAGTCTAAAATGTGTTTACTCTGATTCTAATCATTATCAGTACGTATAGATTTAATATAAAACAAATATTACTTTTGCATTGGAACACAGTAATTCGTCCGGGAGTAATTGATGACTCATAAAGCGACCTGTCCACTTTAATGCCACTTTCGCCACTCTGCGTTGATATCTGCTGATTTTTTTGTAAGTCAGCATTTGCACTACTCTAAAAGTGTAGCTACAGCACTACATATGGAGTTGTAAAATATAGCTACCACCTCATTGGATTTCAAAAGCTATTTGTTGTTGTTGTTGTTGAAAAAGTGGACATGGCTTGCGATAGCCACAATGCAAACATTTTCATTCTCTTAACCTAAATACAAATTGTTAGAAACTCAACGCGTCTGTCAATGACACTGTGGCCTTAACATATATGAGGCGATGTATTGCACATTGGCCCTTCTTCATCGCACGTATAAATCGAGAGGCCAGAAAGAGAGTGGATGACACTTGGAGACGACACTTTATACCATGGGGCCTGATTAGAATTACATTTCAACAAAAATGTTTCATGATGAGCAATTTTAAATTGGCATATGAATAACTACTATTAGTAGCTATTGAATGAAGGGTCTGTGTGTTACTCAAAAGCTATTCATTAATTGACATGGCAATAAAAAAATGTTAATCAGAAAACGCATTTTAATTGTATTATTTTTAGGCTCCATGGTTTAGAGTGCAGCCTCCAACTTATCCATCGCCCAAAACATAGCATGTTATGTATTTTTCCTTTTAAATCAGTGTTATTTATGAATATCTATGGATGTTTTGTTATTTGTGCATGTGCACCACTGCCAGCAGCATCACCAAATAACATGTTTAATTATCAATCTTGGGTCATCGTATACTGTTGTGCATTTCTATCACTATTTATTGCTGGTACACTTTGATGGACATGTTTGTGTTTATGGAGTTGCGAGCGCGTGATAAATTCAAGGACGCGTGCTAAAGCAGCCAAATAAAATCTATCCAATTTGCAGAAACACACGCAGTGACTCAATATCTCCACAGGTTCTTTCATTATTTTCTGAATGATCTTAATCATTATTCTCTCAAAGTTTGCCTAATTTAATAAGGCACTTATTTAGGATGATGTTGCCATGCTAATGTTGTGAATTATAGCTTTGTGACAGCACCTGCCACTTGTAATTGCCATTCGCGGATTAGTTGCCAGGAAAGAACACGAAAGCTTGTTTACAACTCTGAATTGCCAGGTGGATAGCTATTTCCAGTGCTTCATTTCAATGGGGAACGTCCGGCCATCACTGCCAGTGCGAATCTGAATTCCATAACAGTGGCAATGCGTGATTGATGCTCTTTAGAGTATTGTGTTTGGTACATGACATTCTATTTATATTCAGATTGTATGTATATTGTCATCATGGAGTGTACCCTGAAGATTAGTCGTTGCATCTGTCTGTGAGAAGGAATCAACT